ACCTGTTGCTCGGCTTCTGCCGTGTCCAAACACAGCTGAAGCGGCGCTTTGGCAGCCCCAGTGATGGAAATGCAAAATCACATTTATATACATGATTTTGCACAGAAAATCCACCTGTAGCAGTAAATCTGCTATATGGCGGGTGGAGAATGGTTGGTTGAATGAATCAACATTATCAAATAAAATTGAGTTGCCTTTCATTGCTATTTTAAACTGAATGGGGTGTTTTACAAGGTGAGAGTTTACATATTCTTTAGGTTCTGAGATGACCCTTTGCATGTGATAATTAATGACAATATTCTTCCTTCTTGACATAATGTTAATTAATGCAAAAATGGGAATTCAAAGTTGTGTTTGTATAAATACTATATATAAGAAGCAAGTGCTAAGTAACACCAGTGTGTGCACAGCATTTTAAAGGTTAGATTTATAGATAGAGATAGCTTTAGGATTATATATTAGCCATTCATCCATTGGTAACAGAAAGTCTCTAAGTGGACCAGTGCACCTGAGGGTAAGTGAAACACTGCACAATAAACAAAGAGCAGCTTCCCTCAGGCGGCCAATGACCTACTAACAAACAAAGACAACATCTTAATTTAACACCATGAATGATCATGTTTTTTACTGGCTGTATTATAATTTATGTATTATAAAAATTCATATAATGTCAATGCTTCTCACACAAAATATTGTTATTATCTAACTTACTGGAAATGTCATTTCAGTTTTTAAGTTTGATATTAGTCTACGGTAACAGTTCTAAAGGTTGGAGGTCATACTGGATCACTGTGAATACAGAAAAGTGAATATGGCAGCCTTCTTGGCTCTCATTAGCAGGACTTTTTTTCTCTAAGAATAGGTGCAGGAACTCCCCCTTTTGAGTTATCCCCTTGTGTCTGTCCCCTACCTACCTCTGAGCATAGCTCCTTGGTTCCACACCTTACCCACCTCACAGTACATCCCCTTTTAGAGAATACAGAACCAAGTATATTCTTAGGGCTCATGTACACTGCAACTTATAAACTGACGTTCAGGAGCCGTTCAGCTTTTTTTCAGCAGCCTCTGAACTCTCCCTAATGTTTTCCTATGTGTCCATGTACACTATGTCGTTTACAGGCAGTTGAGTTTACAGTCTTTTTTTCTTAACGCACCAAACTTGTGTTCAGGAGTAGATTTTACCGGCGTTTCAAACGCCAAGCGCTTGTAAATGCTTGTAAACGTGGTTAACCGTATTTATAAGCATTTGTGTTTAGAAGCGTTTAACTGTTCCATGTCCAGATGTTGTCCAGAGCTTTTTTCCATCATCAGAAATGCATGCAAAGTGTTATCCATTTATTCAAATGGACCCGGAACACCAGCGCAGTCAGTTCCAGGTTTCGCATGAAGGAAGAAATGGTAGAACGTGCTGCATTATGCTCATGATGGGATCCATAGTGAATACGACCAGAAAAGACAGGTCATCTCAACACATACTGCTCTTTCTCTGCTTCTGCTCTCTCTATTCCTCTCAAAATGTCTGAAATAGTTGATTTTTTACTATTTTTCAGTGCATTCTGGGCATTTGGGAAGGTCTCCTGAGGCTATCTTTTAAAAATGCCTCTAAACGCAAATGCACATAAATGCGGTATGGAAACTCAGCTAAACTGACTTTTTTAACCTACGTTTTCCAGCAGTCAGTTTCCATCCTTCAGAAGAGTTTTACAAACACCCCGTGTACATGAGCCCATATTATATTTTATGCTGCTAATTTGTAAGGAGTTTGTTAATGATAACAAGAAAAGCAGTAAAATATGTAGATCCCTCTGCAGCCATCAGCAATAGACTCCCCCATCAGAAATAGACTTTCCCATCAGCAATAGACTCCTCCCGCCCCCCCCCCCAGGCACCAACAGACCCTTCTGCAACATATTAACCCCCAGCAACAATAGATCTCCCAGCAGCCAGCATCACCAATAGACCTTCCAGCAGCCAGCAAAACCAGCGCCCTTCCTCAACAGGCAATCCCTCCCAGCAACAATTGACTTCCCCAGTATCAATAGATCCCTTTACAGAACATCAGAATATATTCTTTCTGTTGTGATCTGCAGAGGTTCCTGTGCCAAAACTTGCAATTCGGTCACTGCAGATTTGCAGCTATAGGAAGTGTGGATAGGGGAAGGTCCAACATTAAATTATTAAATTTATAGTTGATGTGAAAAAATGGTTAGTATCTATATTTTCTTTGAATTCGGCACCAACATGTGTGCTGAATTTACTGTAATGGAACATGTGAGCCAGTGCCTAGGGCAGCAGGGTTAGAGGGGGCCATAACAAGCCTTGGGTCTCATGCACATCGCACATTTTTCTATCTCTCCTAGACGTCTTTCCACCTGGCAGCAACATTTTGGCAGAAAAAGTGCTTGACGCTTGTAAAAGTGTGTAATGCATTTAGGCACATTTACGTGTGTTTAGCTGCATCAAGTGTTTGCGCATTAATTCATTTAATTGGCCAGAATAATAATTTCTAATAAGAATAAATTATTCTGGCTATTGAAATTAACGCTCAAGTGCTGAACGCGTGTTTTTCTGCCAAAGCTCTGCTGCTCCTGGACGCACTGGCAGTGGATTTATTTTCCTGACTCTAAATGCCTCTAAAAGCTATGTGTGCATAGATACATAAGCTAATGTGCAGGAGCATTTATAGACAGGAAAGAAAATGCCAGATGCCCCTATGAGCAGCTGAAAAAACATCCAGTGTGCTTGAGGCCTAAGCATATATAAACATTTCTTTGTTTATTTCATTTGGACACCTCTGGACAACTGTGGCAAAATCAGCAAGATAACAATAGAGGCTTCAGAGGGTTTAGAAAGGAGTCACAAGGCTCTTTACAGCTTGGGAAACATCAAAAAACCTCTCTTGTTTGGTGGTCTGTTCATTTAAAAAGTGCCTCCATGGGTGCACCTGAGCTTTAGTGTTTAAAAATGATGACACAGGTGGCAGAGGTTGTACAAAAGGGTGTAATCACAAAATTGTGCCTTGGCCACCATGATGTTTCAATTCAGTCTTGTATACATATACTAAAGGCTGCCATGAGCAGTGCAAATTTTGCCCAATTTTTACTGAATCAGCAGATATTTGAGCACTGCAAACAGGTAATTTTTCTCCTTCACCGAGGTGAGGCTGCACTGATAGGCTGCACTGATGTGGCGGCAATGGTGGGCATTGATGAGGAGGCACTGATGCTGCTGCACTGATATGTGGCACTGATGGGCACTGATGGGTGGCACAGATGGGCACTAATATGTAGCACTGAAGGACACTGACTGGTGGCACTGATGGCATTGACTAGGGGCACTGTTAGGCGGTACTGACGGGCACAGATTGGCAGCACTGCTGGGAACTGATGGGCAGCACTGCTGGGCACTTTTTTGGCTACATTGATAATCAGTGCCCTGATTATCAGTGCAGATGTCTCCTTTGACAGTTGCCGGTTATTGGCAGTACTTTCCTCACACTGTCCTAGCGTGAGGAAAGTACTGCAGATAACCGGCAAGTGTATTTACTGGTGCTCAGCTGTGATTGGACACAGTTGATCACGTGGTAAAAGGCTGCTGTGATTGGCCTTTTACCATGTCATATGATCAGCTGTGTCGAAAGGACACAGCAAACACAGACAGCACCCAGTGCGCTCCACTGGGGACGCATTCTGTGAGGACATCATATGACACCCTCCCAGAACTGGACGACTGCGCTGTTGCCATTATTCAGCTATCACGCGATAAGGAAGTGGTTAAAGTTTAAGTTCATCTTTTAACAAAAAATAATAAATGCACATTTTTTTGCAAGTGAAAAAATGTGCATTTGCTATTTTTGTTTTGTGAGCTTGGAAAGCATTGCTCCAGCGATCAGCAGATCATGCGTGCCATGCTGGACTGAAGACCTGTCAGTGTATCTATGTACCCGTACCTCGACAGGCAGAATCAATGAACCACCATAATGCTCAACAGTGCCGTGGTAGTTCATTGAGAACTACAAGCTGACAGCCGCAAAGGCTGTTGAAACTTGTAGTTTTCCCATTCACAGAACACTGGGAATGAATGACACTGCAGGGAGGCAGGGTTGTGCAAAATCATGTGTGTATTCATTTATATATATATATATATATATGATTTTGCATTTCCGGGTAGGGGGCCTGCGCCGCTATTCGTGGCCTTGGCTGTCAATCATCGGGTCCCGGCCGGTGATTAGTCGCCGGCACCCGGTGATCACCGAGTAATACCAACGGGGGGAGAGAACTGTATGTAAACATTACAGTTCTCTCTCCTATTGGCTCCAGCACCATGCTTTTTATGGCTTTGCATAGCAGAGCCATGCAAAGCAGTGTGCTTACAGTGAAATACACACACACACAAAACAGTAAAACACAGCACACAGTTAATCCTTTGATCGTCCCAGATGTTAACACCTTCCTGCCCAGTGCCATTAATACAGTATCAGTGCTTTTTATTAGCACTGATCACTGTATTGGTGTCACTGGGGATGTCAGTGACACCAAGTCAGTTCCCCCACAGTGTCAGAATGCCTGCTGCAGTCCCGCTGTAAGTCGCTGATTGCCGCCATTACTAGTAAATGGGAGTTGGATTTTTTTTTTTTTAGCAAAGACATGTAGCAGAATACATTTTGGCCTAAAGTTATGATGAAATTTGATTTTTAAATTTTTTTTTTACTGGACACGTTTAATAGCAAAACGTAAAAAAATATTATTTTTTTCTCAAAATTGTCAGCCACCAAAAGAAAGCTCAATTCAGCGAAAAAAAAAGGACATAAATTTCATTTAGGTGCAGCGTTGCATGACTGCGCAATGACTGCATTACGGGGCCCCATGAGTTGTTAGTCCGCCCCTGGGTTAGCAACTACATTATATTGCCAAAAGTTTTGGGACTCCCCTCCAAATCATTGGATTCAGGTGTTCTAATCACCTCCATGGCCACAGGTGTATAAAATCAAGCACTTAGGCATGCAGACTTCTACAAACATTTGTGAAAGAATGGATTGCTCTCAGGAGCTCAGTGAATTCAAGTGTGGTACCATGATAGGTTGCCACCTGTGCAATAAGTCCATCCATGAAATTTCCTTGTTACTAAATATTCCACAGTCAACTGTTAGTCGCATTATAACAAAGTGGAGGCAATTGGGAACAACAGCAACTCAGCCACCAAGTGGTAGGCCATGTAAAATGACAGAGCGGGGTTACCGCATGCTGAAGCACCCAGTGTGTAGAAGTCACTAGAATCAGTAGCTAAAGACCTCCAAACTTCATGTGGCCTTCAGATTAGCACAACAACAGTACATAGAGAGCTTCATGGAATGGGTTTCCATGGCCGAGCAGCTGCATCCAAGCCTTACATCACCAAGTGCAATGCAAACCGTCAGATGCAGCAGTGTAAAACATGCCACCACTGGACTCTAGAGCAGTGGAGACGTGTTCTTTTGAGTGATGAATCACGCTTCTCTATCTGGCAATCTGATGGACATGTCTGGGTTTGGTAGTTGCCTGGAGAACGGTACTTGCCTGACAGCATTGTGCCAAGTGTAAAGTTCGGTGTAGGAGGATTATGGTGTGGGGTTGTTTTTCAGGGGTTGGGCTTGGCCCCTTAGTTCCAGTAAAGGGAACTCTTAAGGCGGCAGCATACCAAAACATTTTGGACAATTTCATACTCCAAACTTTGTGGGAACAGTTTGGGGATGGCCCCTTACTGTTCCAAAATGACTGCACCCCAGTGCACAAAGCAAGGTCCATAAAGACATGGATGAGCGAGTTTGGGGTGAAGGAACTTGACTGGCCTGCCAGTCCTGACCTCAACCCGATAGAACACCTTCAGGATGAATTACAGCGGAGACTGCGAGCCAGGCCTTCTTATCCGACATCAGTTCCTGACCTCACAAATGCACTTCTGGAAGAATGGTCAAACATTCCCATAGACACACTCCTAAACCTTGTGGACAGCCTTCCCAGAAGAATTGAAGCTGTTATAGCTGCAAAAAGTGGGCCAGCTCAATATTGACTCCTGCTGACTAAGACTGGGATGCCATTAAAGTTCATGTGCATGTAAAGGCAGGCGGCCCAATACTTTTGGCAATATAGTCTATTAGGCTGCTTTCACACTGATCAGTGGGTGCAGTGCAGTGCACCTGTTGCTTTCCTGCAGGTTAGCTGCACTGAACTATTATAACCTGCAGGTTAATGAGCTTTCAGAAAGTGCACCATACCTGCAAACTATAATAGAAGTCTATGGAAAAGAGCAGCTAGCCACAGGAAATCTGCAGGTGCATTGAACTGCAACCGTGGTGCGGGTAAACCTCAGCACATCAGTTAAAGCAACCTTGTAGGGGCCATTATGGGGAGGGGGGGTTGTAAAACCCACAGTTTTCATTGTGGCCTGATACCAGTTACCAACTCATTTAAGTGGCCCTTGCTCTTCAAAAGGTTGAGCACCCCTGCTTAAGCCCTATGGGGGCTGATTTAATAAAGGAGTTGAAAAACTTCATTAGAAAAAAAATGTGTGAATATGCTATTCAGTCATCCAATCATGAACAGATGAAATAAGTAAACAGTAATTTGCCTTTCATGGGATTGGATAACTAAAATGAGATTTTACATCATTTATTGAGGAAAGATTCCTACCTCTTTCAGTAACCCCCCCCCCCCTCACCTGCTGTCAGGCATGCAAAGCAAATAGCTAGTTTGCTAGACAACCGGCCCAAGTCTAGTATGTAAACTCTTCCATAGGAAATAGGGATGGCAAGCCTTGACACATAAATCTGGAGATGAATAATATTCCAGCCCCATAGCCATACTGGTCCCCAGTAGTAAATTCTACCCCCAGACATGGATCAATATTACTTGCAGAGACAAAAAAAGGGGATCGATGCTCCTTGCATCATCTTAACATCGTAAAAGCTGTCTGTACCCTTTGCTATCACCCTTCACCTTCTAGGCTTGAGCTCTGTCCAAATTGACCATTCCCATATAAAAACACAGTGATTAAGAGTTATCCGAGTGTTTCTGACTATATGTCCTATTTATAGTCAAGGACAGTGTGAAAGCTCCGAGTGGGATCTGTGCCATGGGAAACAGCGCAGATTTTCATCAGATTTAAATAGATGAAACACATCTACCATAATGTGTGAAGCGCACTGGGAGGTCACCTTGCAAGTTGTAAGCTACTCAAAACACAGTACACTAAGAATTCAAAAAAGAAAAGACAGACGAGAACAAGGAAAAATGCATCTTGGAATACAATACATTTGTTCACTATTAAATGAGTTAACCAAGTATTATATAAAAAATGAGTACCTAAAAGAAAGCAATTGGCCATCTTCAGCACGTTATCACATTTCTTTATTATTATAACATTTTCTTTGCAAAAAATTATCACATTTTAAAAGCTTGCTGTGTCATATTTTCAGAATTATATTTCATACATTCCCACTCTAATGGCCACATATCATCAATGCAATAAGAATGTGTGCAGCAAACGTGATTGTAAGCCAAGTACATATACTCTATATATATTGAAAGATTAATAGTTTATCAAATTAACTAAGCATTTTAAAAGGAAATTGATAACAAAAAATATCAGCTTTTCCAAATTTGTAGTAATAATTTACAATAATTTTGCTTGCAGAGTTGTATATGTGTATACTAGTTTATATATACCGGTGTGTATATATATATATATATATATATATATATATATATATATATATATATATATATATATATTACAGACGAGGCAATCAACACATTTGTGACAGAGAGGTTTCTAGGCACACTGTTTAAATGAAAATCTCTGGATATAATACATGTTTATTAAAGTGTATAGCCAATTGTGTTAGTCTTGGAACGAGTGGGTATGGATTAGAATCCCTGTGAAGTTTTTTTTTATAGCCATCTGTGTTCCAGCTAGGTAGATTCATGCTCTCTATTTGTACTGTTGACTCTTGCACTGGGACAGAAAGTGATGGAATTTTAGAGCTGTCATGGGCATTGGGAGGATCGTCTAATGGAACACCTACTCAGGTGACAGCTTTTTAAAGTGGTAGTAAACATTAGTATTATAATCTTACCTACCGGTAAGCTTATAATAACGTTTTCCTGTAGGTAAAATGAATATCTCCTAAACGTGCACCATCCAAACGTCAACTCACAGTAAGTGCCCGGAGGGGGTACCTTCCTTTATGCATGCCTGTGGTCCTCCAAGACCAGCTACTTACACCCCTCCCCTTTCCCCAAAAAAAATAAAACTTCACCTATAATTCTTCTTCACCCCTCTTAGCACACATCCTCTGTCCCCTCAAATTTTCCACCCTAGCACAAATCCTCCCCCCAAATCCCCCCTCCTAGCACAAATTTCCTCCCAATCCTTTCCCCTAGCACACATTCTCCCTCCAGATCCTCCCCTAACACATGTCCCCCCATCTCACTCTCCTAGCACAAAGTTCCTCCCAATCCCCTCTCCTAGTGCAAATACCCTCCCTCTAGCACACCCAATCCCCTCTCCTAGCACAAACTCAATCTCCTGTTCTATCACAAATCCCCTCCTAGCACATACGCTCCCAATCCCACTTCCTAGCACAATCCCCCCTCTTGATCCTCCCTTAACACATGTCCCCCTCATCCCCCTCTCCTAGCACAAATCCTCCCAATCCCCTCTCCTAGCACACATTCTCCCTCCAGATCCTCCCCTAACACATGTCCCCCCATCCACTCTCTCCTAGCACAAATGTCCTTCCAATCCCCTCTCCTAGTGCAAATACCCCCCTCCTAGCACACCCAATCCCCTCTCCTAGCACAAACTCAATCTCCTATTCTATCACAAATCCCCTCCTAGCACATGCGCTCCCAATCCCACTTCCTAGCACAATCCCCCCTCTCGATCCTCCCTTAACACATGTCCCCCTCATCCCCCTCTCCTAGCACAAATTTCCTCCCAATCCCCCTCTCCTAGTACAAATCCCCCCTCCTAGCACACCCAATCCCCTCTCCTAGCACAAACTCCCCCAATCATCCCTCCAAGCACAAACCCCCTCCTTTTTATAACACAAATCCCCCCCAATCCTCCAAATTCCCTCCCCCAATCCCCCTCCTAGAACAAATCCCCCCTTTCAGCATCATTCCTCTTCCTTTAATCCCCCCACCTAGGACAAATTCCCCCAGATCTCTCCTATAGCTAAACCCCCTCCAATTTACCCTTCCCAGCATAAAATCCACCTTACCCAAATCTCCCCAAAGCCCACCCCAGCACCCCCCTAGATATGGCCATGGCGTAGAGTAGGGAAACCAGTGGCCTTGGCTGTGCCCCTAGGCAGCAGTGCGCCCCGGACAGCTGCTTACTTTGCTTAGTGGTAGCACCGGCCCTGGGCCCCCCCCTTCAAACACGGCCTGCGGACTGCGGAGGGCTGACTGCAAACACTGACTGACCCACCCTACTCTTACTTCAGTGATTGGTCACTAGTTCTCCTCATATGCCTTCTTCTAAAGGGAAACTAAGTAAGAGTTGGGCATGACTACACTGTCTTGGTCCTTTTTCTCTGATTGTCTTTGTCAACAGAGCTGACATCATGACATGAAAAGTTACATGGGCCACATAGACTCAAAAATCTAGTAAACAAGAAGCAGTCTGCAAAACTGTATCATCAGCTTTCCATGTCATGATGTCAGGGCTATTGACATAGGACAACTAGAGAAAGGGAAATACAATGCACTCATGCCCAACCCTTAGCTAGATTCCCCTTAGAAGAAGTAGGAAAAGGAAAAGAATCAGCGACCAGCATCTGATGTAAGAGTGTTGGCTTCATATTTCTACACCCCTAGGATTCTATGTCCCAGACAGTCCCTGCTGAGCTGTTCCTCTCCAGCCAGCCACCACTCACCTGGCTCTTCTTGAGTGCCATGCTGAGTGTGGTGGATGAGAAGAGGAGAACTGGAGCCTGAGGTCCAGCCAACAGTGAGACCCAGACAGCTATGCAGGAGCAAGCGGCTGCACCGACTATGATCACATGCCAAAGGCAGCTGTGTCCACTGCCGCACCCGAACATGATCCAGTTCGGCCAATCACATGGAGGCAGGCACCCATGTCCACCCCCGCTTGTGACCCAGTTCGTCCAATCACAAAGGGTGCTCATCCCTGATCCTGGACAACTGGGGAGGCTTAGACAGTCCTAGAAGAACAGATTGTGGAGAGCGGTGGAGGTGGAGCGCAGTGGGACTGCGAGCGCAGTGGGAGGCAGGAATTTTCTGCGCACCCTTTGATTTTGTACCTGGAACAGTGGCCCCGCCTGCCCCCCCCCCCCCTACCCCCACACACATGCTACGCCACTGCTAAAGCTTACATGCATAGCCTTCTCTGCCTTTCTCTGTTCAAATGATGTGCATGGGATTTCAGTCCAAGAAAGACAGCCAGAAGGCAAACTGCTTTTACTGCTCTGTCCCTTTAGAAAACACAGTGGGGAGATTTACTAAAACTTGAGCACTCAGAATTTGATGCAGCTGTACATGGTAGCCAATCAGCTTCTAACTTCAGCTTGTTCAATTAAAGTGTTAACTAAACCCACAACAGTGAAATCAGTCTAAATGTGCAGTAAAGCATGCTTGTTATACTCACTGTGGAACCTAAGGGGTTAATCCTCTGCATTGTGTAAAAAGGCTGTTTGATCCTTTCTTCTCTGCCCCTCCTCTTGTTGAAATGA